AATAGTTAACATTCTTGGGGTAACATAAGCTCCAAAATTTACTAATTATAAATGAATAAATAGACTTTTTCTTTGCATATGTTAAATTTAAAAAGATTAAATGGTATCTATTAAATTGACTAGATAGGGTAAAAGTAATTAAGAAATAAATCAAATTTAATTAAGAGAGCTTAGATTGTAGGTGCTCAAAATTGTGAGAAGGTAAAGATATAAATCTAAATCAGAATAAAGAACTAGGATATTTATAGGATTTCCACTAAACTTAAGATTTTCTTATTTAAAATGACTGGAAAGTTAAGGTTATGTGAAAGAAGTGTAATTTTTTTAATCTTAATCTTTTTAACTTAGATCGTACATTTTAATCTAATTTTTATGAGATAAAGGATGAGATGTGCATATTAAAATTATTTGACTACCTCATGGACATCATCAATAATTATGAATAATTGATTGCATGACAACAAATCCATAAATTCATATCATTTCTTAAGCGATAAAATCCTTTAACATTTTGCAACCATAATTAAAGATTATAATAAGATTCTCAGTAATAATAACTATTACAATTACCGATGTATAATTAAGACAATTATGTTAATTAATCAAGCTTAGAGTTAATTGTATGCAAAGAAAAAATAAGTAAATAGTAAAAGAAAGAATAAAACTAAAAAAAAATTGCTTGATTAAATTAAAATATATAAAAAATAATTATCAATTTGGTTAATTGTGAATTAAAAAGTGAATTTAATTGATAGACAAAAGATAAGATCTAAACAAAAATATATAAATTCTTTTTAATCATTAAAAAAAATTTTGTTTTATCAAAATAGTTTTTGAATATTAAATCTGTTAACACATCTATAAAGTTAATATTTGCAGCTAAAGTCCTTAATAGTTAGCATGTTTATTATAGTTAAAAAATAATAAAAATAACCTAAGAGAAAACACAAAAACAATTTTAAAACATAAGATTAATTTTATATACTGGAATACATCAAATTTTGAATGGAGCTGCTCTTTTATTCGATAATAATATCGATCTTTGTAATTTAAAATGATACATTCTTATTGTTCTTTAATCATTTCTTTTAGGAAATACATTAGATTTGCAGATCACATAAACTCATAGAAATGATCATGCTCCATTATGATTATTATCAATTTTTTGAAAGATAAAAATTTATGAAAATTAATCAACAAATAATTTCAAGTATCAAATCATATTGCTTCTTTTTATAAATTTTATTAATAAAAAATTAAACGTTAAATTTCATGGATTACAAACTAAATCAATGTTCTCATTCAGATCCTATTCCTTATAACAATCAGTTCTTTTGCAAACTTTGTGGAATTCATTTACCGTCAGATGGAAATATTCCTATTAAATCAGCTAAATTTTCATTTCCTGCTCATCTAAATCCAATCTAAAATCTATAATCACAATGGGTTAGATAAGTTCCTGTTGTTTAATTTCCATCAGATTATTTAAAGGTAATTATATTATAAATAACTAATAGTAACGATTATCCTTAATTGATTATATTATTGAATGGAGTGAAAAGCTATCTTTGTCAATCAATTCCCTTTTCTTAGCTGTTTAATTCTTAGATTATTTTGTATCATCAAAAAATAGTGATCCTCTTCAATATCGATTATATGCAGCTACTTGTTTAATGCTTGCAGGTATTAAATATTCTTAATTTAAAACTTAGCAAAAACTATAGAATTAGATGAAAAGATTCCTTTTATCAGTAAACTCAGAAGATATACTTATTTACCTTATCCTACTTAAGATTTTAGAAAATGTGAATGTTAAATCATCAAATCTTTCAACTGGAATCTATAATATACTACTATAATAGACTGGGCTGAAACTGCCTTATCATTAGGAATTGTCTATGAATAAGATGAACTCTCATAGTCTGAATCTATTCTGAAAGAAAGAACTACTAATATTATTTAACTAAATTTAAATCAATAAAATAAACAAGATCTTAAAGAATAGACAGAATCAAATCACAAATTATCTACTAAAAATATTTATATCAAAGTTTAAGAATAATTTACTAAAATATGTTTAACCATTTTAAAAGATGGATCATATCTAAATAAAGATCCTTCTTAATTAACTCTTTCTTTAATAGGTTGTGTTAGAAAAATATGCGGTTTTAAACAATCATTGTATTCTTTATAATTTTATTGTTAGACCACAATGCCTTTTATCATTATATGATAATATCCAACCTAAATTTCAAGATTCTATTGTTGATCTATTATCTAAATAAACTAAATAACCAATCTCAGTTGTTGGAAAAGCATTTACAAACGATTTAGACTTTTTCAGCTTATAAAATTATAAAAACAGAGTTCTATGAGATTACTATAGTTAAGCATATCTTATTTATTTATCATTATCTATTATTATTATTATTATTATCTATTATTGTTTAATTGCAACAACAACATAATTTCTACTTATTATATATCAATAGAAAAATAGCTATATTTTAAAAAGAAAGGTATTTCTAGAACAATTTATCAAGTATAATCAAAGTTTTGTTTTGTATATTTATTTATATAATATTGATATTGCCGGATTTCATTCTTCAAGCATCTTTTTTCCTTTTTCTGCATATTCTTTATTTAACTCTTCCCAATTTTCCAAAACCATTTCAAATTACTCAAAAATCATTGAATGAGTTAATCTATTTCTAGATGGTCCTACTTCCATTGAGTAAATCTTATGGGAAGTGTTTGTTTCTATTGTCCTGTTTAAATAAACACCATAGCTACATTTAATTTAATCCTTTACACATAATGAGGAATCCAAATTATAGCTGCTAAACCAAATGAAAGTCTTGTCTCTCTTCCAATATAATCATCATAAAGACCTCTAAACCACCAATGCCTATTTCTTACTGCAATTGCTGCTCCCATTTATTTAAATATATTTAATTAAGATTTATTTTAGAAGAATGTAATATAATTATAACAGCATCTTGATAATTTAGGAAGTGCATAATTTGATCACTTTAAATACTCCAATATATAGGTAGTATTTTAATCTTTGAGATTTATATATTTTACAAAGATATTCAAAATTTATCAATCTATTTATTTTCATACATTAAAATAATAATAAATTTTTAGATCTTTATTACAACTTTTTATATTGCATTTTTGATATAATCAAAATAAATTCTTTTGATATGATTTGATAGGTTAAAATTTCACAAAATTTCTGTAAGAGTATTTCAAATTATGATTATTTAAAAATTATAATCAAATTTACTACTAGAATTCAAAGATAAAATATGTATAATATAAAAATTTTAGATTTTGTTTTAATTAATAATTAAAATTTATAATATTAACAGTTAGTAAAATGTACTATCATTAAGTGTTGAATACAAATCAAAGTCAGGCATTTGTAAGTACAATAAATACTGAAAGAGCAAGATGTTAGACTTAACATTATAAGGAAAATTCTAAATCATTTCTTTATTAATAGCCAATTTAATAGTAATAGTAAAATTTGAATGAATAGTTATTAATTTAAAATTAAAAGGTATTCAAATAATATGAAAAATATTAGCTTAGTGATTAAAATATTAGATTATAAAATGAGTGCAAGAGATTAGAATATCATTTGAATTTAATTTAACAGAATTTTTAGCAATTAAAATAATTGTATGATTAAGATTAATTGGAAATGCAACGTATAACACATTTTTGCCATTAATAATAATAAGATCATAATGCTATGTAAACAAGAATACTTGATTTGGAACAAGAAAACTTTTAACTTCATCATGAAATAGATCATTATTAGAAGAACTTAAAAGATTAGGAATATTTGGAGAATCAAAGAAAAGAAATAGTGATAGGACAATAAAAATTGATGGAACTTTAAGAAGAAATGAAAAAGGAGGTAGAGTAAATAAAGCATGACCCTTTGATGGAGATTTTAGAATTATGGAGAGATAGGGCTTTAAAATCTTGCACTTATCATAGTTAATAATAGCCAGTCAAGAAAGTGAATACAACAAAAGAGAAATACCAGAAATTGACAAGATTAACAATGTAAGCAGCTGAATTATTAAGTTTTAAATTAAATTATAAATGATAACTTATCAAATTCAAGTTGTTTTAAAGATTTTACATTCTTTATAAAACTGAATTTCAGTTGAAAAGTTGAATATTTATATATAATAATTTATTTTTTCCAGAATAAGAATTAATTAATCTAGATAACTTAAACTTAATCATTTAAATAAAATATTAATACCCATAACCAAACTAAACTTAGAAGATATTAAATGAAAAAAATTCAAAAGAAGAAATTTGCTATGTAACCAAGAAATAAATTATTATTTAAATTCATAATAATCTTAAGAAACATTCTTTTCTAATTAAGCTAAAAATGAGTAGTATTTAATAATTAATTAATGATCTATCAAAATAAAGTAAAATCAACAATTTTTAATGAAAGATTATATAATCTTCATGATAATTTCTGATTTTCAATTTCTCATATGAAAATAAAATTAAAGATTTAATATAAAATAGAATAATTAATTGATTAAAAGATTAGATTAATAATAAAAAAAATAATTATCGAATAAAAATCCTTAATATCAATTAATTAATTGTATCTTTTGAACATGTTTTAAATTAGTGTCGTATTGATCAATGTATTAAAAAGAAGTATTTTTATTATCATTAATTAAAAATTTAATTAAAAGCAACCTCAATAAATTTAAGATTGTATATATAATAATTAAAAAATATTAAATCAAAAAAATTGAAAAAATTATAGTATAATAAAGAATATAAATATTGATTATTAAAATCTAAAAATATTGAAAATAAATCCAATATACATTAAATTGAATGCTCAAGTAATACCAAATTTGAATTGCAGCCTAAATTTTTTAGAATATTAGAAAAAAAACAAGAGTAAAAATAATTAAATAAAACTTAAAGATGGTTATGATTTATACAAAGTATATCTTGAGAAAGTAACTTGGTATAGTTATTATAAAATATTTACAGTATTATTTAAATAAAAAAAATAATAGAAGTATTATATAATATATATTGCATTTGATAATGATGTTAATTTATATTATTTTATAAATTTATAGATATTTTCTTAATTAAGCTATTTAAATAATCACATAGATAATTATTGTAATATATAAGCTCTATTTATTAACTCTATTAAAATTTGAGCATTTAAATTTTTCTTGATTATATTAGTTTATATCTAAAGCTTACATTTCAAACAATATATTAGTTTGAGCAAGTGACTGGTTATTTATCACTTAAAGAAACTCTAAATTAAAATGTTATTCAATTGGTTTCATAAATTCTCATGCAACATATTCAATTTGAGATATTGACGTAATGACATATTCAATATAATATATATTTAACCAGAGATTCGGTTGTAGTATTTTAGGAATTAATTAAGTTCTTTTATTCGAAATATGTCTTTGATTGTACGAAATATATCAAGCATTAGAGAAGAATGGAGATAACTAATGAAAAAGAAGATTAAAAAAACAAAAAGAAAGAATTAATATACTTTACCATATAAGTTTGATGATGAAATTTAGGACGTTAAATAAAAAGATGATTCATTGCTAATTGTTTAAAATATTCCATCAACCATACCAAATAATAATGTTTTTAGATTAAAGACAAATATCTAATTCTCTTTAGAGATAAGCAAAGATTATTCATTGGGTTAACTCTTTGTTGATCCTCATTCAAACAATTATAAAATAGTTAGGATAGATAAAAGGAAAAACCTCATAATATTAACATTAGATTAAATAGATAGACCTATTACTCCACCAGAAGTTTTGTATTCTATTTTTAGAGATAGAAGCTCTGAATTGGCCAAAGCATTTATGTAATATAATAATAGAAACCTTGATCCAACTAAATGCAAATAGCATACAATGTAAGAAATGGTAGATTTTGAATCAAAAATTTAAGGAAAGCCTTATGCAGTTTATGTGAATACTTATAAAGATGGCATATGGAAAACATTTTAAAAGATTTTTAATCAAGAATAACTCAAAATTTATGCAATATCAGAGGAGATGCTTTTTCATTATTGTAACGAAACCAAACTTATCCCTGTAAGTGCCTTTTTTGATCAAAATGATAAATAGTTGAATGTATTTTACAAAATGTTTAAAGGTATTGTTGGTTAATAATCAATAAAAAGAGATTATATAAATTACAATGGAGAGCAATTTACTGCTTCACTCATAGTTTAATGTTTCTTTATTTATGATAAAGAAAAAGATATACTCTTTGATTATACATACTTTGTGACTGATTGTGATTAATAATGGCTATCTGAAATGAAAGTGAAATAAAATGAGTTGGATTATTTTAATATAAAACCTAATTCTTGTTCAACTGAAGAATCCTCCTTTTAAGAGCAATTAAAGAGATGCGGATTCAAAGTTTTGAATTAGAAATGATAATATTATTAATTATTATTCATTAATTATATTCTTATAGTTTAGTGAATAAAAATAAAAATTAATATTATAATTTATAACTAAAATTAGAATTATTATCAGATGCTCTATTCAAGAAATAATAATTTGATATTTTTTAATAAATTATTTATGGAAATAATTATGATTCTAATATAAAAGAATTTTATTAATTTTTTGATTCAAATATTCGATAGAATTTAATAAAATAATATCATTTAAATCAATATTAATTGAATTTATATATTAATATATATAAATATATAAATTTTAAAATAGTGAACTGATTTTCATAATGTAAATAAAATAAGGAGCAATTCACAATAATTAACTATAACATTATTAAACAAAATTAATCTTTGATCATCATTAGCTTCCTCCTAAAGATTAATCCATAATTTAAAATTATCATTTAATAATTACATTATAAGTGTGCAATCTTTATAGTTTGATTCATTTACAGAGTCAACTTATGCAATAGCTTATTCAAATGCATCATTAGCAATTCTTATTGCTTCTGTTGTATTTTATAAAATTTCATAATAAAATACAGATTGATTTAATTGTAACCCTAATCTAATAGGAGAAGTAGTAAATAAATTTGATTTTGCTAAAACATCAGCTTCTCGAATTATAATTATATAAATGTGTATTTGATTTTAGAATTTGTCGGTGGAGTAAATGATTAGATAATTTTTAGGGTTAATTATATGCAGTCTTGTGGAAATAACCATAAAAGAAATTTGATGAAAAAACTTCAGCTAAGTTTATACTTTAATCATGTCTTGCTTTAGAAAATATCCATTCTAAAAATATAGTGCATAGAGATATTAAACCAGAGAATTTACTTTTAGATGAAAAATAAGATATTAAATTAGCCGATTTTGGATGGTCTAATTTTTTAAAGCCAAATGAAATAAGATAAACATTTTGTGGAACTTTAGACTATTTAGCTCCAGAAATGTTAGAAAAATCTAGATAACATGATCATTCAGTAGATATATGGGCTATGGGTGTTTTATGTTTTGAATTATTAACTGGTTTAAGTCCATTTGCTCCATAAATTAATATAAATAATTAAACCTTTGTTGAAAAAACTACAAAAGACAATATAATAAATTTAAGATTTTAATTTCCTCCTACATTTCCACCTTTAGCATAAGATCTTATTAAAAAAATATTAGTCAAAGAACCAGGAAAAAGATTTACTTGTTAATAAATTAAAGAACATTAATGGATTGTTTGTAATCATCAGACATATATTAGAAAATACATAACATGTTAAAATTCCGACTTCTTTGACCGTGTAATAGGAAAAAAAAATTGTTAAAAATCCAGAAATTGAAAATCTATAAAAAGATGGAAAATTGGCCTTTACCAATGATTAAATCTACAGTTTTTCAAGACCTGATTCAGTACTATCAAATTTAATAATTTCAGATTATCGTTAAAGATTTCTTACAAGGAGATAATACTAATAGTAAATTAGTTGAAGCATTGAATAATAAAATGAAAGAAAAAGAGACCAAAATATAAAATTTAGAATTTGAAAATTAAAAGAAATAGCAAGAAATCAATG